CGGCCTGGTACTCACGCTGGCTTCATGGCCGCAGGCTCCGTGACGCCCGGACGCGCGCGCGGGGCGCCGGGCTCGATCGGGAGGGCTGGCGGGGGCCGACGGCCGCAGCGACGCGCCGCGGGGTCCCGCAAAAGGCGAGCCGGGCACGGCGCTCCCGCAAGTGGCGGCGCAGCTGAAAGCGCAGGTGAGAGCGCGCCGGGCGCATTTCAAACGGGCCAATCAGTGCCCGCCCGCGGGGAAGGGGCGGGGCCTCCGGGGAGTGGCGGCTATGCCGGAAGTGGGACCCGGCGCGCTTAGGCTGAAAGGAATCTGGCTGGCTGGGCTGCTGGGTGGGAGAGTGGACCTCAGAGCTGAATGACATGTAACCCCGGAGGGGTGACTTTCCCACTTCACCAGCAGTCCAGTGGAAGGGCGAGCTCAGGATTGATGCAGCAATGGAGTGTCCTGTTCTCACGCTGTGCCCCGCGCAGCCTCGGACGCCCTCTTTGACTTCCCCACCACAGCGTCTTGACTTCCTTTCTCTACACTCTAGATCTTTTCTGGGTTCCCCCTGTCTGGTTACGCCAGGTGTTTCCTATCCATAGACTGTTTTATCAGATTCTTAATTTGGTAAAATTAAGATTGATCCTGGATATTCAGAGAGGGATAAAATTCGGTACATGCCCTTGAGCCACACCCAGAACTGATTCGATCCGACATCAGCCCTTGCCCCTAAACTGATGCATATCAAATAGGCTTCTCCATCTGCGCTGTCTTGGAATTCTAGCCCCAACTCTTCAACTTTGTACAGAATGGACAATTTAATTTCGTTGGCCAATATTGTTTGGCAGAAAGATGGTTCTGATTTTTGCTATTAAACATTTACAGTATACACTTAGAAATACATCATTTAACCCAACGCAAGTCAATCTGTAGGAGAAATTCCTAGAAGCACAATTGCTGTCAGAGAATATTATTGTATAATGTTTCACTGCCAAATTATATTTCATACAGGTTATCAAATATATGCACCCACCAGTTCTGTATGAAAGGGCCCATTTCTCCACACTTCTCAGACAACAAAGTGTTATCACATTTTTTTAATAAATGTAGTAAGTGAAAAAGAGTTACATTGTGGCTGAAGTTTTCATTTATATAACATGATGAATAAGGTTAGGTGCCTGTTCATATATTCAAGAGCTATTTGTGTTTCCTTCTCAAAGAACTGTATTCATGTCTTTTGCCTCATTGTTCTTTTACATTTTTCTTGATGATTTGTAAAAGTTCATCTATATTAAGGAAATTTGTCCTCATTCAGAGTATGTTAATGTGTTTTATACTCATTTTTCAAAGTAAGGAAATAAGAAAAGTGGCACTGTTTTACATTTCTGCAAATACTCTTTAACATCTGACTTACTAGAAAACAACTAGCTGACTTCTTGTATCTATTTTTGTGTTCACTCTTTTATCACAAAATAGCATGTGGCCTCTAAAAAACTATATAGAATGAAAATGCAAAGGTACTATGAAATTAGTTTTTACCCAAGATTTTCCTAAAAGAGACTTGAAGATTTCCAGGCTTCCATCGACCACAGTTCAAATATTTTTATAGCTCATATTGTGCTTTTCATTTTGTTTGTTGTTTTGTGACAACTTAGAAAAATGTCTAAGGTAGCCAAATGTAGCAATCTTTTCTTTTATGGCTTGTTTTGTGTCACACTAGGAAATGTCTTCCCCATTCTGAGATACTTTTTTTTGTCTTATATTGGGTTGTTCAAAAGTCATGATGTATTTTTCCTAATATTTTCTAAACAAAAATGCATTATGACTTTTCCAACAACCCAATATTTTTTCCTAGTACTTTATCGCTTTGGGTTTTATTGTTTTTTTTTTTTTTTAATGTGTAAGTCTTTGAGCCATTAGAACTTTATTTACTAACATCTTTCCACTTCTCTCCACCCCCTTCCTTAGTGATACACACAGTTCCCAGGAACGTATTTCTCACAGTGAGTAAGCATGTTAGCAGTGCGGGAGGTAAGACATAACCAGATCAAGTGGGAAACAGACCAAGTTTATTATAATAAATAAATTTTATTTCTTCCTACATAGTTTAACAAAATCAGATAGTATAATTAGAAGAACACCTCTGAGTGTGGAAATGGTTCTTTACCTGTTCAGCAATAATGGATTGCTGCCTAGAAAATCAGCAGGCTGATTACGGAGGCTTGCATTCAGCTCATAGGTTACAAAGTGCTGTCATACAGTATTAGTGGGTGTTGCGAGTAAAAAAAGGGTCCCATGGCCAAAACAAATTTGGGACACATTAGATTCAAGTGAAGAGTTAACCAACATACCTAACACCACCATTCTCCACCTTCCTCAGAACCACTCACAGATAGGGTTCCACACAAAACACTTTAAGATTGTAGCAGACCAAATACTTAAATCACTTTGTACTCAAGAAGCTTCAAAAGCCCCATTAGTGATTCTAATCAACAATTACAAATTCCTTTTAGAAAGAAAATGGAGAGTTAAAAACCAAGTAACTGGCAATGAAACTATGAGTGAAGGGAGATAGAGCTGACCAGGTGGCTCTTTCAAACACACTCAAGTTTTATCACCATTATAGTGTCTGATAAATTTTAGAGACGTGTCTCTCAAGCAGGGGAAGAGGGAAGAAATACATCTGGTTAGGATTGTGCCCAATCCCTTTTGAGGCTGTGCCATGTTACCAACTGTAACCACTGTCACCTTCACATGTCTTAAGTGCTTTTTGAGACATTTTAAACTCTTTTGAAAATTGCTACTTAATTAAAAGACATCTTTCCCGGGAGGACTTCAACTGACCCACTGTCAAGCTTTTTGGCTGTACAGGATGGTCTGAGCAGAACTATACCAGTTAGACTTAATATGTCATGATAATATATTTGAATACATCCTCACCCCATATTCCAAATAGGTATATTACGAATTGTTTGTAGGGGCAGGACTGGACACTGAGCAGGTTTTCTGATCCAGCAGACCAGGTAAAGGAGGAGGCAGGCCTCCCAGCCCCCAGCAGGTCTTCACTCTGGGCTCTCCTGCCTTCTCTCAGCTTCTGCTGCTCTTGCTTCTCTCTCGGCTTCTCCTGGTGTCCCCGTGACGCCACCCTTAAAAAGCACAGTCTTAGCCCAGGTGAATCCCATCTACCTAGGCCCACACCCTACTCCAGGTGTCCGCCATCAGGCATGCATGCCGGACTGCAAGGATCCATCATCTCTCCTGATGGCGGGAGGGCAGAAAAGCTTGATACCTTTTACCTTACCCTACACTGTTATAATATTTTAATTTGTAACACTGTCCACAAGTCTATAATAGGGCTAAAATTTATCAAATGTGAAACATTTGATCTCATTGTGTTGACTTCCCATTTTCACCTTTAAACTTGATGAAAAAGCAACATAAGCAAAGATTAAAAATCTAAAAGTCCTTCAAATTACCCATTATCTTTCAACTTAATTTCAATTTAATTTCTAAATTAAATTAAAAACATTATTTTACTTTCTATAAATAAGACAATTAAAAGCCTTCATGTTCTTAGTTTTTATAGAATAGGATGTTTAAGCTTTCTATCTTTTTCATCATAATATCAAAGTTACATTAAGATGACGTGGAAGCCCACAGGCCCTGTTGGCATAGAATTCCACTAACAATGTCAGATGGTTGCAAAAAAAAAAAAGTCACACAGCTCGCAATTAATGTACCAAAAATTTGCCAGCCCATATAATTTTATCAGTCTGCCTCCCTCCAGAGGAAGTAGGTAATAATGAAACTAATGAAATAATATTTCTTGATCATGCTCATTCAAAATAAATTGTTACTTGTCCTTAGAGGATTGGACCATGAGCTATTTCCAGGCCATTTAAGGGTCTGGGCCAGTTAACCCTGGAGGCGGGAGTCTAAGTTATAGGGGTATTCCTGAGTCAGCAAAAAGGATCCTGCATTGTGACGGAGGCCCCCTTAAGTCCTCAGCAAGTACAGATCAGGGGTTGATGGGCCCCTGCTAAAAACTGTTTTGCATCAGCATTTCGGAACCCCCTGACAAACATGAAATACTGAGGTGTAATCAGTAATGCAACATGTGAGAAAATGCTGTGTTTTAGTAGACTCAGTGTAGGGAGAGGGCACACCTCCTGTTATGGTGAGTTGCTAAATTTAGACTAGAATAGGCCCAGTGCCTTCTGGAATCGCACCATCAGCGCGATTTCTTTTAGCATGACCTGTGGCCCTCCTGAATCCAGATCACCTGGGGACTGAGTCTATTTGTAGCTCTTCTCCAGGAAACTACTACTCTAATTAGTAAAGCAGAATCTCCTGGCATCCTCAGGAAATCTGCCTGTCTCATAAACTCACCAGCTGTTTCTGATTCACTGCAAAGCCTGAGAATCATGTCTGACCCACCCTTTGGCAAAGTCTTTAGCTTCCTCAGCACATGAAAGAAGAACGCTAAATTTTGCTGTCTCTTTGAAATGCTAAAGCAATATCAAGTATACGCCATCCCCAAATGTAACACTGCCATTGATTTAAAGGTGAACTCAGCCAGTTCACACCATGAAACAGTTTACCTGCACTTGGGTATAGTTCTGCTCAGACCATCCTTCTGTAGGAAAGTAGAATGGACTTATGGGGAAAGAAGGCAGTTCTATTCATTCCCTTCACTAGATGGGGAAAGAAGACCCTTCCCCAAAACAGATCCCCACTATCTGGAAAGCTTTTCCAGTCCCTCCAACTCCCACAGACCCAACTTCCTCCTCCTCAGCTCCCCCACTGGCCTTTCCAGATCATTTTCTCTCCAAAGTCATTGGAGCTCCTGGGAGAGGCTTTGCATCGAATGACTGATGCACGTTCCATTTTAAAAGACTAATACTACCTGGGTAGTAAAGCTTAATCCAACTGATCAATAATAAAGCTACCAGAGTAGTATGCTTAATCTAACCATTTAAATGGAACTGAACCCGCTTTAAATAAATTGAAGACTTAATGAAATATTCATGATTTGCCTGAATAGGTATTTACTTTAACCAGTCTGTGATTTAAAAACCACAAATATAGAATCAGTGCACATCTAGAAAAATTCCCCCAGTTAAATACCTTTTTGACACGAACCCACTCAAAAATGCCAAGACACCAACCACAACCATATCAGGCCATCATAAAAGGGCATCACCGCCAATCCCAGTGGTTAGAGCATCACAGGTGAGTGTGGACGCCGGGAACGAAAGGCTTATGGTGTGGATCATGTTTCTTTCTTATGTAATTTTGGCTCAGGAATCTGATACAGAGCAGCTGAGAAATAAATTATGTTGCTGAGGCTGAAGATGATGCACAGAAGCACAGCTCCGGAGAGCTGAGAGAAGGACAGGGGCCTGGAGGTGGCCAGGAGCCACTCCTTCCTCAGAGTCTTGTCCAGAAGTATGGCCTCCATCTGCATGTAAGTGGCCATGATCACACATACATGGAACAGCTGGTGACTGTGACCTGCAGCAAACACACAAAAGACAATCAGCACTGAGGAGGAAGAGATGGCGGTACCTTGAAGGCAGGTCGCGGAGGCCAGACACGAGTGGCCACACCTTGCCTGGTCCCATTTATATCACAGGTCCAGAAAAGACAAGTCTGGGGTGATGGGAAGTAGCTCAGTGGTGGCTTCAGACAGGGGGTGGTAATGGGGACTAACAGGACGTGGCTTGAGGGTTCTTACTGGGGTGATGAAAATGTCCTTAAACTGATTGATGGTGATGCTGGTCCACCTTGGCCCAACCTGATAAATTTACTGAGAACGTCACTGAAAGTGGGGAATGATGTGATAAGTAAAATGAGCTTCCACACATTGATTTTTTTAACATTATGTGAGAAAAGTTAAAAGGCAGCCAGAGCAAAACAAATCAGTTTCAAAACAACCCGTCTGCCAGTCCTGCCTTCTGCAAGAACAAGTCGGGCAGCACATTCTGCCCGAAGTCAGCTCTGCAGAGCTACACTGCTCAGCTCAAAGTCTCACTTCAGTGCCAAAAGAGAAACCACATTTTCTGGTGCTTCTCTCCCAGCTGTTGACTAATCTCAGACAGGTCCAGGGGCTCCTCCTCCCCTACCTGACCCTGGCCCCACAGTCATGCGTCCACAGAGGGGGGAGCCCAGGAGCTGGTGGTAGAAGTGGACTGGACGTGCTGATTTGGTGGCTGGTGAGAAAAGGCGTGTGTCACCCAGGCTCAGGGACTGCTCTGGGGACAGCCCTTAGAGGCCAGGCACAAGATGAGACACATTTCTCATGGGTTGAACTGTGGTTCCCCCCCTCCAAATATATATGCTGAAGTCCTAATCCCCAGCACCTCAGAACCTGATGGTCTTTGCAGCCGGATCATTAAAGAGATAACAACATACAGGTGAGCTCACTGAGGCGGGCCTCTACACGCTGTCCTTGTAAGGGGTGAGGACATGGACGTGTGTACACAGAGCACAGACCGCATGGAGATGCACAGCAAGACGGCCACCTGCAGGCCCAGGAGCCGGCACTCAGAAGACACCCCGCTGACACCTCAGTCTCAGACTTTATCCCCCAGAACTGGGAGAAAGTAAATCTCTGTTGCTTAAGCCACCTCGCCTGGAGGTTTGTTAAGGCGGTCCCAGCAACCAAACACAACCAAGCGTTAAACAAGGGCTCTTCTTTGCTTAGCTCCCTTTGAAGAGTTCAAAGTTGTGCCCTGGATCTGTCCCAGAGGTTGTTCAATAACTGTGTACCAGGAAGGAACAGGAGCGGGAGCAGTCAGGAAGAAGCATATAGGCAGTTGAGGCTTCTCAAGTGGGGCGCTCCTGGGGTTCTCATGGCAGGGGGCTGCCAGCACCCAGTCTGCATGCCCTGGAACTAGGTATATCTGGAGGTCACCCCTGTTCACTCAACCCTCACTAATGGGCTGTGTCTGATGCCTAAATCTGGGTGTGATGCAGCAAAGTGGCTTCTTGCCCAGCAGAGGGGGGTAACTGGCTGCACTTGCCAAAGGAGGCTCAGGAGATGAAGGGAAGATCATCAGCGCTGACACTGCTGCAGGCAGCTGCCGCAGGAAAAGTGATCTCAGCAGGGCTTCCCGGGGGGGCCCACGCTGCCCTGGCCTGCACTGGCACTTCCACATGCGGGCTGGCGTCCGAGAGGGAGACTCAGCTATGCACGGAGGGTGAACTTCCAAGCCCCTTGTTGATGTGTCACTAACTGCTGCTGGGCACATTTCCCCCTACAGGTGTGTTTTCTGCTCTGCAGCCTGTGGCTCAAGATGTTGGGGTAGAGGCAAATAAATAAGATGTCATTGAGAAGCCAGGGAGTTGGCAAAAGACTTGAGACACACCACCCCTACTTGAGGAAGACGGGGCCTGGAAGGGGATGCAGAGGGCAGGTTCCAATCTCCTGGCCTTTCATCTTCCTCCTTTCTTGAAATCTACCCATCCAAGCATTTTGCTCATCTCCACCCCTTCTGGCAGGAGAGAAGAAGCAAGGAGATGCTTATTAATAAGCAAGGATCAAGCAGAGCAAACCCAGCCAGTGCCTTAGGTGAGAGGAGAAGAACACAACAGGCCGGGGAGGGCCATACTTCCTGCTCATCAGGTGGGAACAGAGACTGACCCCTGGATTTTCCTGGTGGCTGATCTAATGGCCTAAGCAGCAGTGACCCAAGGCTCCCCTCCCCTAGCCAGTCCCAGAGCCAGGAGAGGGTAACACATTCTGTGGGGCCTGAGGACGGGCATGTTCCCAGATGTAGCTGAGGCAGTTCCTGACTCCTGCCTGCATTATCCCCACACGAACAAGACAAAGACAGACACTTGCCCATCAGCACCGCTCCCTGCCCTCAGGTAGCCTGGCCACCTGTACCCTTTCCGTGCTCCTCCTCTCGTCTGTCCTCATGTTCATTTAAGGATGGGATTCACATCTAATAAAAATGGGACTCCTGGCCTCATCCACCATAGGACTGCTCTAGAATCCCAGCCCACCTGCTCTCCATGCTCCCTCCTGCACCCCACCTGGCTGATCACTGGCTCCACACAGCCTGGCCTTGGTCAGCTGGCAACTTCACTCAGCTTGGCCCATGCCTGGAAGACGTCCTGAACAGCTGCTTGTCTCCCTGCCTCTGCCCACCTTTGCCACTACAAAGGTGTGAGGGGCCAGAACCTTCCCAAGTGGAAGGGCAAGAGGCAGCAGGGCCAGCACACACTCACCGATGTAGTCAAAGCATCCAGGAGCCAGGCGCTCGGGCAGGTGTGCAGAATAGAAGAAAGAGGCCAGAAGGGTCATGGCCATGTGCCATTGGTGGTATAAGGCGGCTTCACTCTGTGCGTTGTCCCCCGGGGAGATGAATAGCTGCAGGTATTTAAAGAAACATCAAGTCTTGAGAAGAGGTGCTCTTCCTTCTACTCACCTCCAGATGTCCCCACGTGCCCAGGTGTGTGACTTGGAAAGGGGACACTCAGGGACGAGTCATCAGTGGAAACCCAAGACAATGACATGTTAATCCCCCAAAGGATCTTAGGAAGCTCTTCCGGAAAAAAAAGAAAGGAAGGAGTGGAAAATAAGAGAAGAGGAAAGGAAAGTGAAAGAAAAATTCAATTAGATACATTGCCATGCTTTTCTCTGGAGGGAGGCACAAGCAGAGTGAAAAGTGGTGTGTTCACACTCTCATTCACTTCTAACCTGGCCAGCCACTAAACTCATGCCCCTAATTATGGCTTTGAGGCCTAGAAATCCCCAGACAGTCTTTTTTCCTGGAAGACCCTTTGAGTCACCAGAGAGCATCAATTACAGCTGTTACACTATTCAAGTCCAGTTTCTGTCTCACTGTGACTAATGGCAGCGGCCCCACTCACGGGGGGCACCAGGCCATGCAGCACACGTGCCTGGTCTCGCCAGAACCTCAACAATGCATAAGCACGCTCTCTTTCCTCACTTTGCCCCTGAGGGAACTGGGTCGGGGATGCCACACAAACCACTAGTTAGTGGTGAAGGCAGGATCTGAATCCAGGCAGGCCGACTCCAGGGCTTGTCAACGTTACCGCACACGCCCCACACCACCCGCATGGGAGCCACGGAGCTGGCGAGGGCGTGGCCTGTGCTGCCTGCCGGCACATGCTGTCCCCTCTGCTCTGGTCCCCTATGTGTGGTCTGTGTCATTGAGAAAAGAATGGGGAGAATGGACACATCCCCATCTCCAGTCTCCCCCAGGCCCACACAGGAGAGCTTAGGGCATGCTCAGTGCCCTCACCGTGGCCCCAGCTCTGCCCTCCCCCTTCTCCATGACCCTGCCACCTCGGCCCCATGCCTCTGACCCACCCGCTGCCCCAGAGGAGGACTCCACTCACTGACAACTGCCATCATTGGGCCCATCAGACCTGCTTTTGATGAATCCCTTCTCCACCCCGTAAAGGAAGAGATGTTTGCCCTATTGATGGAAGAGGAAGCTGAAGCTCAGAGAGGTTCAAAGCACTGCCTAAGGTCACACAGCCAGTCAGCAGTGGGCTGGGATTTGAAAACATATGGATTTTGCCCCTTCTGGTCTTCCCTCCTACACCTAATTCCCATCTCCCTTCCTTCATGCTTTTCCCTTCAATACTAATAATACGTTAATTGATGGTAACACATAATAATTGATTGGGCTGATTGGGCTCTCGTCATCAGATAGTACTTTATACATTATTTTGTGTGCCCTCCCGCCAGCCAAACAAAGGGGTTATTACCATGCCCCTTTTAAAGATGAGGGAAATCAAGGCATAGAGATAGCAGCTATTCTACCCAAAGACTTACAGCTACTACATATTAGAGATCTACCTCCAAGCCCACTCTCCTGGTCACTCTACTAAACCCTAGGCCACCTCCCCTGCCCAGCCCTCCAAGATTGCTCCTGAGCCCCCATCAGCACTGGTACTGGCCCATCACCTGTGGTTCATCAGAGCCTGTGTTCACACCATCCAACCACTCTGCAAGTGCCAGTGAGGGGCTGGGCCTTGGCCCTCTGAGGCCCACACAGACCAGCATAGTGCTGTGGCCCCAGAAGCTCAGCAAACACAGAGTCTCTGGTGTTGCCCCTAGGCAGAGGGAGATGGAGCCAGCCCTTACCCTGTAGAAGATGGGGAAGGAATCCCAGGTGTAGGGGTAAGCGAAGGCGACGATGCGGAGCACCTTACAGAGCCTGGGTTTCTGGATTTCAAGAAACCTAGATCAGGCAAGGAAAGGGGGGAGAAAAAAAGAGTCTCAACAAGTTACACTCGTGCACACACATTTGGAACACAAGGGTGGGCAATGAACAGAAGGCACGTGTCCTTCCACAGCCGCCGCCTGCAGGCAGCAGCCCCTGCACCGGCCTTAGCCATTTTTCTCCCACCCATGGCAGGGACTCAGCCTCAAGTGTGAAAAGACCTCGGGGATCCACCCTGCTCCTGAGGAACAATGGAGCACACACAGGCCAGGAGGAGGCACCAGGGCCAAGTCATGTAACTGTCAAGGAGCCCTGTAAGAGCCCAGGGACCACTGGGACAGGGACACGAGTGGAAGTGGGGCAGCGGGTACATGCTAACCGGGTAGGGGGGATAGGTGTTCCTGTGCAGGAGCCCCAGGTACAAGCAGGCCTTTAATGACTTCGAGCGACTCCTGGAATATTCAACAGCACACACAGGGATGCTGGGAAAACTGAGTCAAAAGTCTTTCCTGCCTTTTATCACCATCCCTGCTCACTCATCTCCAATCAAAAGGCAGAGGAAGCGAACATTCAAAGCAGGGGTGCTGACCCCAGACTCAGCACCATGGCTCAGCTGGCAGGGCCCAGCCCTGGGAGGGGGAGCTGCTAAGGGTGTAGAGAGCCAGAAGGAGGGTAGAATCTCCACACTAAATGCAGCCCTGAACTGGGGGTTGGGTAAGAGGATGCTTGAGGCCAGGTACCCGCCCCCTTGGTGCCCAGCCCAGGTGGCGTGAAGAGTCAGGGCACCTGTGGTCTACAGGACAGTGGAGGCACTCTGGCCTCCCAGACCCCCAGTTTTGCCTCTTTTGCTGTCCCTCAGGGATGGTGTCTGTGTCCTGCCCTGCTTCCTACCTCTGTTGCACAGACTTCTGTCCAGCCCCCTACCTGCCCCTGTTCCCCCAACCATGATCTGCCAGTCCCCCCCAGCCTGACCTATTCTCTGGTCAGGGTGTCCATGTCTCCCGGGAGCCAGCCAGTGACCTGATAACAAACCCCACAGCTCCCCAACTTTGGTGTGGGACCCCCATAGCCGCCTCCTGGGCAGGGGCTCATCTGCTTAGGTGTGGACCTGCACACAGCTCAGAGGAGCGCCTGCAGGGCGGGTGTGTGCTGCCCAGCCCTGGGGGCAACCGAGCATGGCACTTCCTGACCCAGGTAAGAGGTAGCCTACCAAGGACCCCAAGACGCCTCATGGCCTCCAGGGACAAGTTCCAACTTGGCTCAAGCCCAGCGGCATGTCTTTCCTTCCCTCCCAACCCTGCGGTAAATCCAAGCAGCACATGCAGGCACTAGGCGGAGAAGGAAGAGAAACTCAAGGAGGAGGAAGAGAAGGGACCTCAATTTATCTCCCCCACTAAAAAAAAAATAACCCCAGCCTTGAAGTAATCCCCAGCAGGTAAGGCTGTGATTTCATTCCAGAACCCTGGCCAGAGATTTGAATCCTGCCTTTGCCCATCGTGACCATGTGGCCCTGGCTACACAACCCCTGTGTACCTCAGAATCCCCGTGTGGAACACGGGTACACCTGTACTCTCTCCAGCTTGTACAAGGACTTAATGAAATGCTGCTCACACGACCACACAGCATTGAGTAACACTCAATGTTTTAAAAATGTATGTTGTAGAATCCATTCTCTCCCCTCCCCAGCTTATTTTGTACCAGAAAGTCAGAACAGGAGGGAACAGATAGATTCTGGGTGATTTGCCTGAAGTCAGATGAGCTAAGAGGCAAAGCTAGGATTCAAACCCAGGGTCAGCCAGCTCCCAACTTTCACATCCTCACCCCCTCCAGCAGGCTCAGCACACCTCAGAGCACTGCCCCATCTCTGTCCTCACCTACACCCCCTCTGCCCCAAGGGGCAAACGGAGCACATCTGTGAACCAGGACCAGTTCCAACTGCCTCCTCAGTATCCCGCACACCCTGTGCGACCATGCATGCCTGCTCCCTCCTTGCCTGTGCACTGCTACCACCTGCTCTGGGTTAAACGAGGCTCACTATTAAAGCAAGCTCTTTCTGTGGCCACTTACACAGGAAGAAAGCTGGCTCTGGCTGGCGAGGGCCATTCCCCAAAGCATGGATTTCCTGTGACTTGAGACAAAGTGCTTTCCCGGGGGCAAACGAACCAGCCTCTCCAGCTGCAAAGCCGAGTCTACAGGGAAAAAAGGGGAGAAAAAGCAGAACAGAAGAGAGACAGCAACAGAGTAAAAGGCAGAAGGGTCAACAGCCAGAAAGGGGCTGCCCACTAAAGGTGCAATTCCACATCTGGCCACAAGGTGTCACCAAAGGCAGCGATTCGGAGAAGGAGGGTCAGGGCCACAGAATCCTCCAAAGCCCTCTGGGCCCAAGTCTCCAAAGACAGGTCTGAAATGGCAGTCTCTGCGCTTCAGGGTTGAGGGGCTAGTGTATCGGGAGTCAGGCCTCCTCTACTCAGAACAATATTGGCAGGAAATGCTGGATTTCAGAAGAAGCCTCCATCCAGAGAAGATGGATGCAATACCAGACTGTTCCAAACCCTGATAAATTGTGTCACAACGAAGTTGAAAGGATTAGCAAGCTAATTCTGAAATTAGTGTTTGAAAATAGTGGGCCTTTGGAAACATTTTGAGAGGTGTGCATGTGTACATGCGTGCGTGTTTACAGCTGTTCTGCTGTTCTGAGGGGCCCCTCACAGAGACATGGGCATAGCCTCATGCTGGGCCCCTGGCCTCAGCAGCACTGTGTCATTTTGCTGAGCCCCCTGACTCCAGATATGTCTGAGAACCATGTGTGCTGAACTTACTGCCTCCAGCTTGCCTTTCGAACCCCTTCCAGGCCTGCTCCATGCCCCTGCATTGCCCTGGCACCCCTGCCCTGGCAGCCCTCACACTACAGAGCTCCCTTCCCAGGAGGAAAATTAATCTCTCTCCCTCACAGCCCTGCCACAAGGCTTTTCACTCAGCAAGCTTTGTCAAAAAAACCCAAACATTGTATGCTTCGGATGAATGAATGAAAGAGTACCCAGAGTGACTCATAGCCAGCTAACACTGTATAACTCTCGGCGCTGCGGGAGGAGCCCACCTCTCTAGGCTCTCGACGGCAGCGGGTCTGAGCTCATGGCATCTCGCCACCCAGCCCTGCTTCTAGTGCCACAGAGAGGACACACATGCTCTCAACTGCTGCAGAACAAGACAGGGTTGCTGAAACATGCTCATTTAAACTAAATCCCATGATAATAAAAGCTAAAAAATAATGCCAGGGGCATCCACCACTCTCAGCGTGGAGATCTGCTTCAGTGGCATCTATTGTGATGTGATGGACGCCACTGAGACCATGACTTTGGGGTATGCATGTAACTTGAAAACTAATGAGGTTCCTGGTCCCCTGAATTCAGGGAAGAAAAAGATGGTTTCTGTTACTCCTGACCACCCCAGGGACGGAGGGGACAGGCGGGAGAGGAAGAAAGCAAGGTGAGAAATTTGGGGAAAGACACTGAAGCATTAACACTGCACAATGCCCAGAACAGAAAGAACCAGCAGGCCCTTGTCTAAGGTTCGACCCTGAAGCCCAGAGAGGGCAGTGACTAGCCTAGGGCACACAGCAAGTCTGAGATCTCGAGGACTGTAGATGGCCCTCCACCTGCTGCTCTGGACGTCCAGCAGAGTCAGCCTGGGTAAGGGTCATCTTTCTCATTCCTTGGACTGAAGATGAAGTCAGGGAGTGAAAGAGAGGACGGGCCTTGAGAGAACAGGGAAACCACAACCAAGAGAAGGAAGGAGGGCAGGTGTGAATTAAGCGGAAGGGTCCCCTTCCTGGCTCTGAGCTTGTGGTGACCATTCTGGCTTTCTGCCCCAGCCAGCCCTACCCCAGTCCCTGCCTCAGCATCTGTGAACACCATGGAAGCCCTCAGTGTGGGGAAGCTGAGTCCATGGAATTGTCCCCCTAGGAAGATTACTGTCCTTCATGAGCACCGGGTCAATCCTCAGTAGGACACAGGAGACACTTCCGCTCCCCATTCCCCCTCTGGGGCTCCTTTCTAGCCCTCTCCCCATTCCAGCCTTGCAGCCTCTGGAGCTTCTGATGCTTCCTGGTATCATCCTGTCCTCCCCAGGCCCACGCCCTTGCCCAGGCTGTTCACTGTGTCCAGCTAAAGTAGTCACCCTTCCTCAACACTCAGTCTTAATGCCACTTCTCAGCGTGCATCTAAGCAGGTTTCATTTCACACCGTCATTATTTGTGTATGGCAGACTCTCTAATGCTACACTCCAAAGGCCGTTTCCCCTGCTCTTTAGAGGAATGATGACTCCATCCCGGCCATCTGGTCTTTCTGGAGATCCGCAGTCTGCCTCTCCTATATTTGGGCACTCTCTGAGAGCAAGGACTATACCTCACTCCCTGTGGTGTTCCCAGCCCTTAATATGTTCCTGGAACATTTAAGGACTGTTGAATGGTTTGGTTGTATAGAACGGGTGGGTGGGTGCATGGATGGATGGGTGGAGGGGGTGGGTGGATGGATGAGTGGGTGGATGGGTGAGTCAGTCAGTAGGTGCGTGGATGGAGAAGCCCCAAACCTGAGCATTCAGAAATTTCCTGGCCAAGCTGTCCTGCCAAACAAGTTTGTCCAGCAGTCCCAGGCATGACACACCCAAAAGACCCATTTATTGTATCTCAGCAATCAGGGAGGATTCCTGACCAGAGAAAATAATCTACCCTGGTGTCTTACAGGTGATGAGGGAGCTTTAAAAAAAATGCAGTAAGTATTGCACATATTTGTTGTGGGAGCTCAAGGAGAGCCATCCCGGACAGTTTCTCCCACACTCATGAAGCCTTCCCTGCCCCTTCAGCTCATGGCATGTGCCTCGCTCTGATCCTCAATTCCAAACATCAGAGCTCACCAGACAGCACCAGACCAGTGTGTCGCATCCAGGCACCAGGCCCTTTTGAGCCAGTGCACCTGGCACCACCTGCAAAGCATGCTTCATCTCTCGGGGTGTCACCGCCGGCTCCCCTCCTCCCTGTCATGTGCACTGCCCTCACAGCTCCGGCCTGGCACAGAGGCTTTGCTTCAAAGGGAACTTTCAATCACCAGAATCCTTGAGGGCTGGGGGAAAAGGAAGTAGTAACCCCATGCACCTGATTCTATTTTCTACCCCATGGGCAGGCCCGGCCTCCCGAGAGTTTAGGGGAGTTCTGTGACTCCCATGTCTGGTCCTTCCAGGGAAGGAAGCCATACAAAGCCAAGAGATGAGACTGCCACTAGAAATGAGACTCACGCCCCCGGAAAGCAGCTCCAGGCTCCCAAGTTGTCTCAGGACAGATAAGCGGGAGGCAAGTAGGGACAAGCCCTCCTGAGGCTGCTTGACAATCTAGCCTCCATTTTGAAAGAAAACCAGTTAGCCAAGTTTGGGAAACTTGTCTACTCCCTGTATTCCAGAAAACCTAACCTTCATGCAAAGGAAGTTGGAGGCAAAAATCCTTCCTGTGCAGCTACAGGTGCAGGCTGCCCCGTTTTTCCTGGGGCGGGGCAGTGGAGGCCTGCAATAGCAATTCCACAAGCCCAACAGGGAGACCGCCATGGCTCACTGGAAGCTCAGTGGGCAGCACGGAGGACACAGGTGTGACCTGCCAGCTGACCTGGACGCATTTCCTAACCCACCACTGAAGGCCCTGGCTGGGGAAGAACCCAGCACCTGGCACCCGCCAGCTGGAGCTGTTGCCCCATACCACCATTTGAGAGCTTTCCTAAGTCATTTAGGGAGCCAGAGCTTTGGGGCAGTCACTTTTATGACAAGCTGGATCAACTAGAGACATTATCTGCAAAACAAATGCCCCTTGTAATAACACTCCAATGAGGTTTTTTTTTTTTTTTAAGTGAAAGGAAAGAAAATTAGAGGGAACTCTGGAGCCAGTGAGCTGGGCAGGAATCCCGGCCAAGGGGCCTCCCCAGGGCTGGGTTAGACATCTGAATACCATGTGAGCCAATGCCTGTGTCCAGAGCGGGCCCTCTTGGTCACTCTGAACAGAATGCCCACTCAGGGGCTGCTCATGGACCAGGGGTGTGCTAGTTGCCCTAGGTACATTACCTGGAATCCTCCAGGTGAGATGGACATGCCACCCCATTTTATAGATGAGCAAACTGAGGTTCAAGAGGTCAAAGCAACCTGCCCAAGGACAGGACCAGGGCATTAAGAATTTCCAAAAAAGGGGCCTCCCTGGTGGTGCAAGGGGTTAAGCACCACACTATGAAGCACACTCTCACAGCCTCTGCAGCACAAGTTCAATCCCCGGCTGGCCAGGGAGCAACCCATATAGCACAGCAGACCTCTCCTGTCTCGCCCACTGCTCCCCTCAGCAGTGTCTTCAGTCCATCTGCCTGTTCTGCTCCCCACTCTGTCTCTGGTGAATTCTCTCACCCTCCCGCACCTCTGACTGTACCCCAGTTTTTGTATAAATAAATCTTTAAAATAAAATAAAATAAAAAGAATTTCCAAAAAAGCAGGAGCACTAAACCAATTAAGGCGCCCTCCTGATGGGGGTGGGAAAAGCAGGTACGGGGTTTGGGAGCCACTGCACAGACTGTGTGCCCACAAAGCTGGTCCTGTCCAACCACAGAGAGTCCGTGTGAAACTGAGCCCCAGGCCCTGAGCCTACCTCTTCCGCTGTCCCCCCACCCCCCTCTGTGGTAGGGCAGCCAGGTACCTGGAGTAGCAGGAGAGGCCAGTGCTGACGATGGTGTTCAGCACGGCCAGGCCCAAGTAGTAGTCGTGGAAGGTGGTGCTCACCAGTGCTTCGGGGAACACATATGCAGAGTAGGCGATGGCTGAGCCTGGGGAAGAAAATCAGCCTTGGCAAGAAGTGGGGACTGCACTGCCCACAGTCCTCGGGAAGGCCAGTGCCAGGTTGGGCTGAGCCCTCATCATCCCCCGACATGAGCTGTCCTGCCATGACAACTGCCCCCCACCCCAAAGACTGCATTCCTTACTCTGCCTAAATCCTTCCTGAGACTTTAGTAGGCGCCCAGCACTGCTCTGAGGGCTCAGCATACATTAACGACATTGTCTTTACAACCACCAGCCAACATTCTGCACTTAAATGGTGGCACAGAGAGGTCTAGTAACCCACCCAGGGGCACACAGCTAGAAAACAGCAAGCCAGATTTCAGACTCGCAGCACAGCCCAGTCCCTGCTGTCTCCAGTGCAGCTGCAGCGCAAGCTCTGCTCTGCTCTCAGAAGGTGCTCGTCGCCTGCCCCCACGTGCTCCTTGTGGACAGGCCAGTGTTATGAGGAGGAGGCCCTTGCCCAGGTGAGGCACGTTACAGCAGCGGGTCGAGGACGGGTCACCTGAGAAGCTGGGCTGAGCCACTGGCCTCAGTGTGTTTTGTTCAACATCCATGAGAGAAGGGTGTTCTAAGAAAGTTCTGGACACCTGTCAGCTGCAGCTTTTATCTGAAGGGACAGGGGAGAGCACTGTCCTTTCCCACAGGGCCAGGTGTGCTCCACCTGGGGAAGAGGCCTGGACGAGATGGCCTCTTCAGGCACCCTCACCTGTGGAGGTCTTTTCTGGGAGAGGCAGCCCACAGGCCCGAGGGACCAGGCTTAAGGTCACCTGTTTTTCCAGAGACTCAGAGAAACTTGGAATCCTAGTCAAGGCTGAAACAGGCCTCAGGCCATACAACGCCAATCTCCACCTTTGATCCAATGTGACAGGAGGGATCTAGTGAAACCAAGTCATGTCACCAGGGTCACACTAGGCAGAGGAGATGGAGAATCACAGTTCCTGCTACAAGGCAGCAAGCCCCGAGGAGCCTGCAGCTGGGAACTGCCTCCAGCAGCACAGACTGGCTCTTGTCTCAGCCTAATGCTCTGGGAAGGTTTTCATCTGGACAGAGCGAATGGGGTCCAGGTGCGGGCCAGTCTCTGTGGGGACATGAGAGTAAGGGGAGCAGATCTGGCCAAAAACTTCAGGAAAGCAAACTGATCAGCCCCTCTAGGCAGGGGATTCTGACATGTACCTGGGGCAGGGAGGGCTCTCCAGGGAGCAAGAACAGAGAGAACTTACGATATGGGGCAAGGAAAGGAAACTTCCTCTTTTGGGTGGCAGGGAGCCATGGAAGGTTTCTGAGAGAGGGATTGTGATTGTCAAAACCTGAAACCGCACAGAATGGACTCCCAGGGAAACAGCTAGAAAGCAGGGAGACCACTAGAGCAAATGCTACCCTCCAGGGACCAGGGGATTCCCCAGGGTGGGGGAAGTGAATATGGGGAGAGTGAGACTACAGCCCATGGAGTTGGGGGTCCAACTTCCTCCTGTGTTTACTGAACAACCCCAGAACAGACAGAGGACCTGCTCCCAGCAAGGAGCAGAAAGGCCGCACCCCGACAAGGCTGAGACCAGAGCCACATGGTGGTGGAGCTGGGCTCGGGGTGGGGGGGAGGCTGGAGGATGCCTGGGCAGGGACCAGGGCTGTAAGGAAGGAAAGAGGGAGTCCCAGAGGAACAGGGGAGAGCACAGATGAGGGGTCTCTGACACAGAGAGCCTGCCAACGGTGAAGGGAAGCTGTTGGGGGGGGGCGTGCGGGGGCTCTGCCAGACACCAGTGGGACCCGGGCACCTGCCCTCATGTGCCTTCTGATTCTCACCATAGAGCAGAGAGGATGACAGTCCCTGCCCCGGGAGACTGTGTCAGGGTTAATGAGATAATCACGGTACCACGACCCTCTGGTGCTTACTGAGTCCTACGCTTCACATACCAGTCTCATTTACTATCATTACACTCCTATGAGGAAGACTTTATGTGGGGGATAAACGGCGTTGAGACTTGGAGAGGTTAAGAAAATTGCCCAAGAGCATATAACTACCAGGGTGGTGCTGGCTGGGCTGCGGAATCGGGCCACTAAGCACGTGCCGTGCTGCCTGCCCCTCCGGGTGTGCCTCCCAGCCCAGAGCTGGCCACACAGTAGCTCCCCCCACTGCCTGCCCTCCTGAAAGTCTGGGGCGGAGGTGGAGGGTCAAGAGCCAGCAGGCTCGGGAGCGTGGACTTCATGCCCTCACTGGGGCCCTGAAAGGTCTGAAATGGGAGGGGTGCCCAGGCCAGAAGCTGAGAAATCTCCCAGGGACGGGGTGGAGCTGGGAGGCAGAAAGGAGGCTGCCACGATGGTGCAGAAAAGAGGCCTGAGGGGCCCAGGAGAGCGAGTGTGAGTGGGTGGATCCCGGAACATGCAGGAGAGGCTCGGCTGAACTCGCTAACTCATCAGAGAGGACAGTGGAGGTGTGGAGGGCTGGAAAGATGATTTACAGGTTTCATATTTGAGGAGGGTTAATGTGAGGGGCAGGGCTTGGAGGATGTGGTGAGGGTGTAAGAGACAGGGTTGGAAGCACCTTGTTCAGAGGTGTTGAAGGTGGCAGGGGCACAGAGGAGCTCTGCTCCAAGAAGCAGAGCCCCTGGGCGGATTCTGAGCTCACCCCCCTGTGAGGGAGACAGAGGAAGGAGGATATAGAAGGTGGGAGGAGAACTGGGGGGAATGGAGGCCACAGGGCCCAGAGGAGCAGAGGAGTCTGAGGAGCAAGGAGGAGCCCTTACTCAAAGGCTACAGAGAGCGCCCAGAAGAGGCGACTCATGAAACCCGAGACTTCAGGGGAGTAGGGGGGGGGGGATAATGAGGTGCTGGCAACCATAGCTTTAGGGAATGGTGGGGACTGGACAGCTGAGCGCTAAAGAATGGCGGTGCGGTGGTGAAGATTCTGTGTGTGCCCATGTATATGGGTGTGTGCGCACATGTGTGCACATGTGTACATGTTATGTGTGCACATACACACATCTCTGTGTGTGTGTGTGTGTACAGCAGTCCCTTATCAGCAGGAGTATGTTCCAAGGCCCCCAGTAGATGCCTGAAACCATGGATAATACAAACTCCATATACATTTTTTCTGACACATACAGATCTAAAATAAAGTTTAATTTACAAATTATGCAAAATAAGAGATAAACAATAATAAAGTAGAACAATTATAACAATATACTCTAGTAAAAGTTACGGAATGTGGTGTCTCTCTCTTGTTCTCTTTCAAAATACATATATTTGCACATAATATTTTCATACTGCAAGTGATCATGTAAACCACAGAGTGAAACTGTGGACAAAGGGGGTTACCGTGTGTGTCTGCATGCAAGTGGGTGCATATGTGTGTGCATGCCTGTAACACGTGAAGGGAGAGAGAAGAGGAAGCAGCACGGAGGTGGGCTCCTCGTGGATACTGTCTCGGGCAAGGGAATATGAGCGTTGGCATTCGCCACCAGAACAGCATCGGTAAGGAGAAAGAGGCTGGAACGGGCATGCTAGTAGACAGACACCCTCAGCAGGAGGAGCAGGAGAGGAGAGGACATCAGAGTTTACAAAAACAAAAGAAAGCTGAGGTGTCAACACCCAGCCCGCCAGCGACGATGTGCCACTCTATTCTGTGGCTCTTGGAACAAATCTCTAATTCCGAAGCCTCAGGACAAATGGGGTTTGTGATGCACCCCCCTCTCTGTCAGGCATGACAGGACAGCTCTGATGTGTAGATTGAGAGAGCAGGCTTTTCAAGTCTCAGGGATTTGGGGAGTGAATTGTTAATGAAGTCATCATTAAAACTTACATGGTAAGAACTTACAACTAAATGAATCACATTAACAAAAGTAATAAATTCGTACAGCGTCTCAGTCTGGGTGGCGGTGCCCTGGGCACTCTGTGAGGGTGCTGCCACATCTCCCCACCCCTGTGTATGGGTGTCCCTTTGGTGACTGTAGTCAGCCCTGGTGGAGTATTTACACCACACATATCAGCTAACACCACAGATCGAGGCTCTGGTCCCCAGGGAGCTGGTGGCCAGACCTCCCAGCACACCTTTGGACAGGTTTCTTACAAAACACTCATCAGCAACTTGAACAGGCCCTGGCATTCTCTGACCTTCCAGCTGGCCCACTAGAGCCCTATGGAGACCCCAGTTCCAGGGGAAGGGGCCGGTGGCCCAGCTCCAGGTACAGGAGGGCGAGGGAGGCCCCACGTACCCAGGCTGAAGAGGTTGACGGCGCCGTAGTCCAGGAAGTAGCAGATGTGTCGGGCGTTCTTGGACATGGAACTGAAAGTGTGTGCACAGCTGGACGCGAAGGGGTACACGCAGCTGGTGCCCATGTACACGAGCAGAGGCCAGGAATAGCTGTCATTCCAGACGTCTGTCACATGCAGTATGGTTACAAACCTCCACGTGAAGAACCTGGAACACAGCACCACCCCAATCTCTCCCTGGCCTTATCCAGTATCTCCTGCCTTCCATTCCCCTAGGGTGGCCCATCCATCCGATGTGTTCTCACTTGATGACATGCCGTGAGTGAAGGAGGAAGTGGCAGTTCATTTGGGGTTGGAAATGGGCAGGAGGGTGAGGAGACAACCCTGAGGTTTATCTAGTCCAATCTCCCTGCTGCATACGGTGCCAGGATCCCACTTAAGCATTCTTGTCCGAGTGAGTCTTCAGCCTGTGTCTGCACACTCCCGGGATGGGGGAGCTCACCACCTCCCAAGGTAGCTCTGAGTGTTGGAAAACTCTTCACTAAACTGACATCTGTCTCCTGGGAATCTATCTCTGTTTGACCAGCCCTAGGTCCTCCCTATCAGGACCACAGAAATCACACCTCTTCAAACATCTTAAGACAGTCTTCCAAACACCCCCCCCCAACTCTTTCAACTTCACACTAAGTAACCCCAGTGCATACAACCATTCTCACAGGCTACAGATTTGGCCTGGCCACATCCTTGTGGTTTGTCTATGCCCCCCAGTGGGAAAGTTCCTCAAAGAGAAGCAGACCCCGAGAGGGACTTGCAAGTCTAGAGGACACAAGTTTGTTTTCTCCCTTCTCTTCTACACGCTTCCTTTGCTAACATGAAGGTCACTTTTCCCAACGCCTGGTCCCACTCCTGAGGCTCAGCTGAGCCTGGCTCTCTGGCCCCTCACCACATGGAGATACCACACAGTCCTGCCTCAGATCTAGCCTACAACCCATGCAAGGGGTGCTGCCCCCGAGCTGCCTACTGCTGGAGAGGCACCCCTGCCACTCACTCCCAGGGAAGGAGGCCACAAAGCTTCTCACACAGGAGCACCAGGAGCCTTGGCCACACCTGTGATCTCTCTCCCCCTGCCCTGGCAGAAATAAAGCTTAAGCTACCTGCTGTTTGTCAGACATATGCTCTTCTTCACTGTTCATGACTCCCTAGTCCCACCCTGCTCTGGGCATCTTACCCTGGGCTTTCCTAAGTCCTGCCATCTACTTTGTTACTCCATCTGGATGGTCTCCCGGTGATGCTGTAAGCTCCTTGGCCAATGCAGCTCAAGCAGCTAAGGTGTCATCCCACTGGGATCTGGGCACAGCCACCCAAACAAGGCCAGCCCCACTCTCTACTCTTGGGCACAGGCATGAGCTGGGCTTCAGCTCCCACCTCCCTGGCAACTCCCACTCCCACTGCAGGCTTCCCCAAGCTTTGCTATTAGCGGGCACCCTTAAACAGATGCCTGGCCAAATGCCCCAGGGCTGCCGTGGTTCCAGAACCATCTCAAGCACCCACAGCTCTGTGCCCATGCCTTTTCCTTCATCTTCTCACAGCAACGCTGGGAGAGGCACAGGCTGCAACTTCTGCTGTGCAGTTGGGAAAATGTAAGATCAGAGAGATGCCATGGCTTGCTCGAGCTAGGGACACTCTAACCAGAGCTTCTGGAAGCCCAACAAGTCTCTAAGGTATGATGCTTATCATCTATCAGAGGAAGCACTGGAGCAGAAAAGAACCCCTTGAATCCTCCCCTCCACCCCTGCCTTAAAGCTTACCCCTGCAGTAGGCCCTAACATCTCCACACCCAAGCACCAGGGAGGGTCCCCAACACCCTGGCATGGAACCTCAGCTCTCCTAACTCCAGCTGTGTCCAGAGAAGCCCAGTTTCCAGGTTCCTGAATGAGATGGGTGGGTCAAGAGGGCTGGAAGTTACCAGAATGGCAGCAAGTGAGTCCAGATGTTGAGGGTCTCATTGGTCATCTGGAAAAGGCTGAGGAGACAGGCAGTGGCAGAACTCTGTGGATGTCGGTAGCCAAAGAGGATGCCCTGTTCATGGAAGACCTGCAGCAGGGAGAGAAAGGGCCATGAGATGACACTCAGGGTCAGCAGGGGGTCCGAGGTGGAACACCTCCATAGGCAGGCTGTGCCCTTGAACTTCAGACTGGAACCTGACCCCAATCCTGACCTGTCAAGCTGCTTCTCTCCTTTCCTTGCACCCACCATCTCCTCCCATAGCTTCTAAAACCCCCACATCCCCCAAGGAGACTGCAGCCAGCAGGAAGGGAGAACTGAAAGAAATCCAGCCTATTTTGCATTCTGATTTACTTTTGGCATGAATATTGCCTAAGATTCTGGTTTTGTACCCTCTGCCTGGGGCCTACAGCCAGCCAGGTCTTTGGCTGCCTTTGTGGTTGGTTGACATATAGGCTGTCTGTCTGAGCCAGCATGCCCCGGATGTCAGGGGCCAGTGGGAAGATCTCTGCAGACAAGCCCCAGGTACCAGATAATTTAACCAAGGCGCTTCACAAAGGCCTTTGATGATGGAGACTGTGAGGGCATCAGCCCCCACTGAGGAGGAGGAGAGAGCCAGCCACAGTGGGCGTGCACAGCCACCCCCATGCTATGGAGCCCTCTGGGGGCAAGACCACCACCAAGGACTCTTCAGGTGAAACTAGGGGTATCCAACCACCTGAGTCTGCATAATATCCACTAAGAATGGGAACTTTGAAGACAGTGCAGTGACAGGGACAAAAGCTCAGGACACAATATTAAGTGACAAAAGCAGAAAGTGAATGGTATCCTCGGCAGGGTTACAAAAACTACAGACACATCATCAGTGCACATGGCTGGACAGAGGCGGGAGAAGCAGGCTTGCAGAAGGCGCTTCCCTCCGGGTTGCTTTAGATCAGGACTTCTTAACCTTGACATTACAGACATTTGGGGCTAGGCACTGCTTTTTGTGGGGGTTGTTCTATGCATTGCTCAGCAATATACATAGTCCCACCCTAGCACACACCACTTGGCTGCTCAGGTTGTCCAGACATTGCCAGAGTTCTGAAGGTAAAACCTTCCCCAGGCAAGAGCCACTGATTTAGATGAATGTTGTTATAATCTTTGAGGGGTAAACTGAAAAAGCATCCGCCATTGAGGCAAGAAACAATTGTGAAATATTAGCGATCATTATAAACTTGAGTCACAGTCCAGTTCAAAGTTTCCTTTTCGATTTTTTAGGGCTGTGGGATAAGGGAGGCCTAGTCACCCATCTCCCGCTTAGGTTAGCAACGTCTTAGTCTAAAGGAGGCTCTCAATTCAAAACCACGCAGTGTATTATAAAACTGGCTCTGTTTGTTGGGGTTCTGAGACAAGAGTTCTCATGGACGTGGAGAAAGGTAGGGCTGGCAGAGGTGGGAGCAGAGACTGGATCAAGGAGGTGCGTGGTCCTGGCTGGGCTCCGCGTCCTCCCTCCCCTATGATTCAGCAGTGTGGTCAGCATGCCCCCTTCTTAGTTCAATTTTGGGTTAACCTGGCCAACTAGAGGGAGTGGGGATAGTGCAGCTGCTTCACGGCCCAGTGAGGAAATACCACTTGCGTTAGCTTTGGGCCCTAGCTAATTAAAGAGATTTCTAGTTCCCTCCCAACAGCAGTGGGAATCCTGGCTTGAAGCTGCCCACACATGTTTCTTCTTTTTAAAAATTTTATATTAAAGTAGCAGAGGCATGTTAAAATATTAAGTCTCAGTTATTATTATCTGCTCCTTTGTGTGAATGAGGGGAGCAGAGCCTATGACTTGGGCCCTGCTCAGCCCCTGGTATGTGGGGGCACCCAGAGGGGAAGCTGGACTGCAGGACAGCCTGGACTCTGACAGCCACAGGAGGGCAGTAGATGGACAGGAGCTAGAGTGGGGGTGGGGAAGCACCTACAATTTTCCCAGGTGACTTAGGACGTGACCTCTGTCCTCTCTTTGAACCCTACTATTGTGCCAGGCAAGAGAGGATGGTCACATAGTCAAAAGCACAAGGGGAACAGAGGACTAGGGAATCCTCAAACTGGACAAGTGTCCACACTGAAGGATTTGGCTCAGGACCTGCAGAGGATACCTTAGCTCAGAGCCAGTGCCAGGTTCATATTAAAAGAACCTGCTTCTGGTGGTTGAGCACTGCACTGTGAAGCTGTCCACAGCCTCTGCAGCGCAGGTTTGATCCCAGCCAGCTGGTGAGAATCCCACATGGTGCAGCAGACCTCTCCTGTCTTGCCCACTGCTCCCCTCAACAGTGTATTTCAGTCAGTCTGCCTGTTCTGTTCCCCGCTCTGTCTCTGGTGAATCCTCCCACCCTCCCGGGCATCTGGCCAGTACCCCGTTTCTTGTATAAAAAAATCTTAAAAAAAAAGAACCTGCTTCTCTCTAACCTGCCAACCTGACCCCAAACTTGTGGGAAGCCCATTACCATGCCATGAGCAGGGAGATGCAGTCTCTCCATCTTCCTGCCTTAGCAAAGCACATAGAGTAAATCTTAACAGAACGCATACTCCATAAATCTAAACAACAACTGAAACATTTGAAAACAATTTGGTATTCATACCCATCTGACCTCCAAAGACAAATTACAATCATTGCCTTATTACTCTGCAGCTGGGTCTCCTTGCTAAGCGCCCTTAAGTTAGGGCACCGGCTTATTTCACAGCAGAATTGATTTGTAGGCTTCACTGTTCATCCCCGGCTGCAGACTGGACAATTTAGAGTGAAATGAGATCAAATTGTGCGCAGCCTATTATTTAGAAGTGAGACGCTGCAGGCATCCGGGTAGAAGGCCACGTCACCGAGGTCTCCTTTCAGCGCCTGCCACAGGCCCAGCTTCCAGAAAAGGCCCTGAGCATCTGCCAGCTGATGTCTGAAATTCCACTGCAACTGTTTTAAACCCTTGGTTTTTCTAGCTATTAAACTGCCAATCACCTGGGGAAAATAATAGGGCATTCTGGCTGGTGATAAATATAAGCGGATTTTGATAGCCGGCAAAGAGCAGAGGCAGGGGGTGGGGAGGAGGTGTAAATCCATGGACTCCCCTCAACCATGTGAGCCTTTTATTGTCCTCACTTCACAGAAAAGGAAACTAAGGCTCAGGGAAGTTAAGGCATTTATCCAAAATGCTAGAAGTAGTGGGAGCAAAGCTGAGACCCCGCTGAACACCAGCCCCCGCCTCTCACAGCGTCATCTGGTCGTTGGAAGGCCTGGGGCCTCTAGCTGCATTGTCACATGCTTCTCTGGATCTCCGTTTCTTTAAGTGGTATCCTGGGCTGGGCTGTGTCCCCCACAAAACTTCTGTGTTGAAGACGTAACCTTCAGCAATCATAATATAACTGTGTTTGGAAACAGTAATTTTTTTGAAGATTTATTTATTCATACAAGAGCTGGGGTGTAGGCCAGAGGTGGGGGACGAGGGGGTGAGAGGATCCACCAGAGACAGAGTGGGGAGCAGAACAGGAAGATCTACTGAAACACACTGCTGAGGGGAGCAGCAAGCGAGTCAGGAGAGGTCTGCTGTGCCATGTGGGCTGCTCCCTAGGTGACTGGGGATCAAACTCGTGCTGCAGTGGCTGACAATAGCTTCAAAGTGCTGAGACTTAACCCCTGCACCACCAGGGAGGCCCCTGGAAACAGTCTTTAAAGAAGTAATTACATTAAGATGGGGCCATTAGTGTGGACACGGGAGGCCAGGGGAGGGGTACACAGCGGACAGCCACGTGAGGAGGAAACAAGGAAGAGGCCATCTGCAAGCCAAAGTGAGGCCACAGAAGAAAGCAGCCCTGCTGGCACCTCTAGCGTAGATGTCTAGCCTCAGAAATGAGAGAAAATAAATGTCCCTGGCTGAAGAGTTGGTCTGTGGGACTGTTGTGCAGCCTAAGTTGATTAGGACTAGAGGTGAGGTGGGGAACACAGTCTTCAAGCCAAAGCCTCGCCAACTTTCTCCTGCAGGTGTCTATAGATCACCTGGGAAGCTAACTGCCACACAGCAGTGCTGGGGGGAGAGCCTCCATCCTAAGAAGCTCCTAGAACATGCTGATACTGCAGCTGCCTCTAGGTTCACACCTGGGTTCTTGCATCAGGATTGTGCTGACACCACCCCACCCAGATCCAGTCCATCACAGAAGAGGAGGTTCCCTTTAGTAAGGAGGACAAGATGACCCCAGAGACATGGATATGAAAAGCTAGGTCAGGGGACAGAGACCAGCCTGGAGTCCGGCCAGGTGTCTGTAGGCAGAAGGCCTGGGAAAAATGAGGAGGGATGAGGGCAGACCACCAACTGCTGCATCAAGCATAGCCTGTCCCAGAGTCAGCGCCTGGCGGGGTCTGGGGCACTCAGACATGAGCCTCTGTTCATGCAGGACTATGCAGAGTTCCTGGAGGAAAGGACACATAAGTTCTAACTAAAAGAACATAAAACATAGCTTGCACACAACTCACATGCCATCACTAGAATTAGTCTGACTTAGGATAAATAGGTTGAATTAATAGTCATTGTTGGTATTGAGCAATGATAGATAAATACCAGTTTAGGACATTAAGATGATGTTCTTTAAAGCATCACTGTCAAATATTCACTCAGGTGTAAGGATGTTCTTCATACATAAAGCACACTATTTATAGAAGTTGGTAAATTTCATCTGGGAAAACATATAAATGGATAAATGGGTAAAAAGTAATGAAACATATCACTATCTAGGATGGAGGATCCAAAAGAGAGCAGGAGAGAGAGAGAGAGAGAGAGAGAGAGACAGAGACAGAGACAGAGAAAGAGAGACAGACAGAGAGAGAGAGACAGAAAGAAAGAAAAAAGAACACACATAGAATATTTTTAAAGCAAATATTATTCTGTTCAGGTAGCGTGTAACAGGCTGGAAATTCCCCTGAATGACTAGTATTATTCAGAGTGTTGACTTACAGAAGAAAGTAAGGAAATTGAAACAATGAAGCATTCCACTGTTTTTTTAAATTTGTTATAAAAAGTGCAATCTTTGATTTAAGCACCACGAAAATAATTTTCAATTTTAGGCAGCGATTTAAAAGTCTGCTATGGGCAAGCTTGTGATAATAAATATAACACAGCTGGAAATTCTGTGGTAGGTAAATTAATGGCCCCTTGAAGATGTCCACGTCCTAGTCACCTGAACCTTTATGTACACATAAAGGGAAATTAAGGTCACAGATGTTATTAAAGTCACTCATCAGCTAATCAGGGAGGTTATCTGGATTATCCAGGTATGTCCAGTGTCATCACAAGGGTGGTTAAAAGTGGAAGAGGGAGGCAGAGGGGCAGAGGCAGAGAGATGGGCATTGCTGGCTTGGAGGAGGGAAGGAGGCCTATACTCTGACTTTAGCCTGGTGAGGCCCCGTCAGGCTTCTGACCTACCTACAGAAATGTACAATAATAAATGAATCTTCTTTCTTTAAGCCCACCACATTTGTGGTCCTTTGTTACAGCAACAACAGAAAA